GTGACCTGCAGAGGTGGCGCTGAAGAGTAGTGACCACATTGACGACTTGGAGACTGTCTGCAGATGTAGCGCTGATACATTGGAAGCCATATTGACGAGTTGATAAGAGATTGGTGTTGCGCTGATGAGCGCTGGACTCAGGGGAACTTTGAAACACTTCGTATTCATAATTCTGATAATATAAGCTGTGAAGCTCGGTCCTCTTCTTCTCTACCTTTGTCTATGGTTGAGACTATTGATCACTGCGTGCGTGTGAAGATGATGCATGACATGTACACATCTGCGTGAGATGGTCCCCAGGACCCATGCACACATAACATTTTCTTCGGGTCTTCCTTACATCCATTGGCACTGAATCCACTGATCCTTCGGATGTCAGCAGACCTAGTAGTAGTTGGAGTGTAGGATATGGAGTAGTATTTGTAGTTCTCTTTTGCTGGGAGAGAGATGATGTGAATCTGGGCCCTTCCTTTTATTTTTATTTCAATTTTGTTGAAATTTGAGAACTTGATTCTTTCATTCTTTAATGGATAACGAAGAGAAGCACGAGATTTTAAGCAGGGCAGGAGGGAAGGGGGGAGGGGTTATTTATGTTATGATATTTTGTTCATTACTCTACTTTTTTGAGGCTTCCCTCACTCCTACAGTTCTACTCCGATGATGTGGTACTCATGAATGTTGTAATTGTGCTTTCTTTCAACATGGAATGACAAGGACCATAGTATGAAGGCTGAAAGGAAGCTGCCAAGGTCCACTATCTGGTGGTCGTAATCCTACAGTACATCCACCTCTTCTCGGAACTACTCAGTGGTACACTTTTCCTTTTCTCCCTCTCCCATATGTACACTTTTCCTTTCCTCCCTCTCCCATATGTCACCATGCCCATCCTGATCGAAGCGTTTATTCCATTCAATACCCACCAGTGAAATCGTGGCAGTACAGCAGAGAAAATAATCTCAAGCCGAATGAGCGACACGCACAGACGAGAGACTGAAGTTATGACGGGAATTGTGCACACAGAGAAAGGGACCAGAGCACATGAGAGGCATAAAACAGTTGTGTTGAGCCATCGTGCGTCTCTTCTCACCTTCAGGTGTCGACAGGGCATAGTACATCGAGCCGGTAATCGCTGCAGCGATCGCAGCTGCAACAATGGGAAAGAAGGGTCCAAACGGAGGGATGATACCAGTCTGCAATAACAACGAAAACATACATAGCATAAGAAATCATGCAATGCAGCAAACATCTTCTGCCATCAAGAATTACACATATCAAACCACAGTGACCACACACAACCATATACAGGCATGAGTTCACTTTCGCACATGGAATGTCAACGAGGAAACTTGCACAAGGATGCTCAGCCTGGTGTTTTTGACACATGTTTTCCTTTTCCCTTTTCCTTCCTTTCCTTTCTCATTTGCAGGCCTACTAAATCAAATCATACTACTATTAAATCAAATCATACTATCATAGAGATTCAAACCAAGGCACTCACCAAAACATGTTGCAGGCCATCTCAGTATTTTAGGTGGAGTCCTAAGAAGCTGACCAGTTGGTTTAGTACATACTTATTATACTACAAATGGCACAAAGTGCAGCAATTCGGACATCTCCCCCGAATTGCTGGACACGAAGTGGTGGCCAAAACTGCTTGGTAAGGCACAGCGGGTTAATGCGGTCATGGTGCAGTTTTAGAGCAGGCTTGAGAAAATTATGCGAGGATCATAGGCCGTGTTGAGAGTAAGGGTTGCTGCTGCTCTTCCAATTGACATTGAGATGCTAGAGGAACAGCCTGTAGAAGAAATAATATCAAGATTTTTGTACTCAAGTCTCAAGAATGATTCAGCTCAGTTCAACCAATGGGTTTCCACTGTGAATGGACCTAAAGTCTTTGGCCGAACAGGTTCAGAACTATGTACACGATGTTCATATTAATTTGATAATAATATAGTATTATAATACCCTCGAAGATAGATCTTGGCGATAGTGTTAAATTATTGTCTATCTAGGCTACCAGAGTGGCCCGGGGTCATTTGCCCAGCCGGGCCGAAAAAAAAAAAAAAAAAGGAATTATTTAATTTATTTTTAAATTTTAATTTTTATTCTAAATTTGGTGGAGAATTTCGATGTGACCCTGAGGCAAAAGTTGTTCAGTTTATTAAACTTTATTTTTCTGCATAACATAGTTCTTTTTCGGATTTTTTGGATTTTTTTTTTTTTTTTTTTTTTAAATAGTGACGGCCTAGAGATGTCATCATTGAGCTGACCGGCCCCAGGCAATTCACAAATATTTGGTTTTACTCGTTAAGTTCCGTCATCTGGATTTGAACGTGGCTCTGTATCTCAACAGTTCATGGGTGTACCCACTGACCTAGGCTCTTGGGTCTTGTCTATACTTATTAATCTTGGAAAGATCAATATTACAATGGGAGCACCTCTCTTGGTGAAAATCAAAACAATCTGCATTTCGCAATCAAGCGGGTAACAACATTCCAAATTGGCCTGGCTGAACTAATATATTGAAAACATTCTCAGAACTAAACCAGATTCTACAAGCTGATTGTTATTATACTTGTGTTTCTACAAGTTGATTGTTATTATACTTGTGTTTCTACAAGTTGATTGTTATTATACTTGTGTGTACATAAGCTATGCAGATTGCTGCACTTCTGGTTAAGTTATTATAATTGCAGCAATTTGTTCCTGAAGAGGACTTGCTGGTGGTTGGAGCATTTATTTTGTTTGGTCTCCATCACTTTCGTGAACAATTTGAGCCCCACTTCCATCACTTTCGTGGACAATAAAGCTAAACCGATGAGCTATTACGATTTCTTAAAAGACAGCCACTTCCAAGCCCACTTCCTTCTTGTATTTGCTCCATCATTTCCTTTCTCACTGAGTAACTGTCATAAGGCCTTAGCGTTCAAGTTGGGCTGTTTCCGTTTTTTTGACATCGGATTCTAGCACTCGTAGTATGTTTGACAACTTTGCATGCATGCTTGGTTGCGAGTATTCGGAGTTTCCTTAAGGATGGTGGTTGGTTATCCTCAGGCATTCCTAAATTGTATGTATACCTTTATAGGCAACAAGTTACCATAACATGGAAAAAAATGGGCCCTAAAGGGCCTAGGTATTTGCCCGTTGGTCGACCAAACAAAAGAAGATAGCCATGTTTGACAATGATTTTTTAATCATACGTTGATAAATCTTTCTTATTTGGAGCACCTCAAAAAGATGCGATTATCGGATCATTATCCACAATTAGCACATAATGTGGGAAGCTCCCCTCCTTCTCCACCTCTTCCTCCTCCTCCTTGGTCCACATCGCCACGAGTCAGTGGTCGCAAAAGAGGGAGAGACAGAGGAAAGGTGATGGACATGGTGAGGGGGAACGACAAAGAAGGTGGTTGGTAAGGGGGAAAGGTGGGAGTAGAGGAGGAGGAGGGAAGGCGATGGAGAAAGAGGAGGAGGAAGACAAGCAAGTGGAGGAGGAAAGTGTGAGGAGGAGAAGGTGTGTGCACAGCGTGGAAGAATCTGACCTGGATGTCGATGCTTCAGAGGCGAAAGGGTGGAGGGGCAACCAGAAAACTTGCCTGGTACCAGTAGGTGCATGGGCAAAGGTTTCCAACAAGGGTGCGACAGCCAGAAGTACTGGGGCATATGGTGAAGTTGCATGGGGCCCGGTAGTGTCATATGAAACCAATTGGCGAGTGGGGTACTTCGCAAAGTTTCTGAGGCATTTCGCAAAGTTTCAGAGGCATTTCGCAAAGTTTCAGAGGCATTTCGCAAAGTTTCCATGTGTATTTCACGATAGCCCTGTGTTTTAGGGGTACTGAAGAATTATGCCAACTTTCAGGGGCACTTCAACAATTTTCCCTTGATTATACTATTTTTGTTTTTATTTATTTATTTTTATTTATTATTATTATTATTATTATTAGTATTATTATTATGCAATGAACCTCCCCTCAGAGCACACATCAAAAATGCATGTGCACCAGGACATGCACGTGAGAGTTCACACTTGAGAAGTTGAGACCAAGAGATGGAAACTTGAACGGTGGAACGGCAAACTCCGATCAATTAGTATTATTATTCAAAGAATTGTTTTTTGTGCAAGGAACATGAATGTGGACGAAGCAAAGAAATCCAGATTGCAAAATCACACTGAAGTCCAAGTAGTCAAAGCAAGAGCAGATAGCACAATGGAGTAACCATCCATTTGAGAACGATACAGAAGAATCGTGAGTCAATGTCCAAGCCCAATCGGGCAACACCAACAGCATAACCCAATGTAGCTCTCTCTCTTGAATGGCGCCAGGCGCCCTACCTACTCTACAGCCTATCACTACAACTACAGCATGGAAGCAACCAGACAACTTGACGACCAGCGAGTGATGATGTCAACACCAATGCCGACCTCCTCTCCACCAGGTACGTCCCACTCTTCACCCTCACTCTCCCTTGTTATCCCACACAGYGCCCTTCACCTCCGAAGAACCACCTTCGCCCTTCACCTCCTCTGCGCCCACAGGCAGCCCGGCTATGGCCGCCAGCGCCCTGCGCCCAGGCTGCGCTCTACCGCTTAACGCCAGCCTGCCCTCACTCAGCCCAGCGCAGCGCAGGCACCCTCGCAATGCAGCAGCGTGCCGGCCTTGCTCGCAATGGCCAAGATCCCTGCCCACTCGCCCTCTCTGCCTATATGCCAGTGTTGCGTGTGGGCGGCCTCCCTTGAGCCTGCGCCTGGCCCCGGTACCTGTACCCAGGCCCAAGGTGGTTGGGGCCCACAAAGTACAGTTGTGCCTCTTTCATCCAGGCCTGCGTCCAGATTCAGATAGTGGACCGGTTTCCCATTGGCATTTTCGGCCTCTATTTCCAGCATGCAATGTCGGCCTCATGTATATGTGCCCAGGGCCTAACCAACTCTGAAAGGCCCTGGTCCCTCTGCATTTTATGCAGAGATCCGGAACACGGCGCACTCCAACCAACTGGCGTGCGGCAACTGTATGGACCCCACTTCGTGAAATGTTTGAACAGAGGGCTCTCGTTGATTTGCTGGCCCGCCTTCACCTAGGGCGGGCACGATGCTTGCAGGGGGCCTTGGCCCAAAACATGTACATCACGGCAAGGCCCCTTTTTGAGGGCTCAATCCTCACATTCCATCCCCCTTAGCTTCGAAAGTCCACTGAGATGCTTACTTCGCAGGTGCCTTCCCTTTTAACATCCTCTCAT